TATATATATATATATATATATATATATATATATTGCTTTTAGAAAAAAATTAACAATCATCTTGCAGGGATTTTTAGATATAAGCCAACCTGGGAGGAGGGCAATGAGCTAGGACTAAGTAATCTCAAGAGTACTTTAAGTTTCATGAGTCCAATAACCATATATTTATATGTATAGAGAACTGGTTTCCCCTTTAAATTATTAAAGTGAGAGAGAGACTGACCAAATTAACATCAAGATGTACAATGGCTTAAAAATACACTATACACAAAGAGATATCTGCACTCCTATTTCCACTGCAGCACTATTGGCAGTAGCCAAGATGTAGGAAAAAACCTTAATGTCCATCAACAAATGAATGGATAAACAAAATGTGGTATGCCCATACAATGGAATACAATTCAGCCTTTACAAAAAATATGCAACACTAGATGAACCTTGAGAACATTATGCTAAAGGTAATGAAGCAAGCCAGTCAGATAAAGACAAATACTTTATGACTCCACTTACATGAGGTACCTAGCATAGTCAAATTCACAGTATCAGAATGGAATGATGATTAGAGACTGGAGGGAGGAGGAAATGGGGAATTACTAATCAATGGGCATAGCAAGTTAAAGATGAGTAAACTCTATAGAGATCTGCTATGCTATACACTTAAAAAGCTATCAAGAGGGTAGAGTTCATGTTAAGTTTTTTTTAAGCACAAATACAATTTTAAAAAAGAATATGCTATATATTTAAACTGGAATTCTATAAAGCTCCCAAAAGAACATATCCAATATATACTATATTAAGTGCTTGAGAATATACACACTGAATTCTTCAGAGGGAAACACACATCACAGTAACATGAAAAAGACTTGTGCCACTTTGATTCCCAGGAAAAGAGAACAGTGAAAAACAATGGTACACTGAGCCTTCAGAAAGTATCTTTTAATTGGTCATCTGGGTATTAACCTGAGATACACAATGAAAGAGGAATTAATTTAATACTGCTTAATTTTTCTTTTTAGTTTTGTTAATTCTCCATAATAATGACTGGAATGAAAATGGAATGTCTAAAACATAATGGCATGAGTAATTTATCCTGAAATTATGAACTTGATTACTATTGTAACTTGATTATTAAATCATACCCATCTGTATCTAAGTGAAAAGTTCTAACATCCTGTGAATAAATTAATGCAAAATCATTAGTATCTTATTCTCTTTTTAAATAGACAAAATAATTTATAGTCACAGAATATATCTACTAGAAAGAAACGATTTTTAATATCATCTTTAACATATTTTAAAAAAGCAACAATTCAGTAAGGATCCTTCCATTGTTCTTTATACAAATTTAAATGCTGCTAGGTAATTTATGAGTTACATTTATAATCAATAACCTTCCACTCACTGAGTTTAGAAATAACAGTATTTACTGAGCTAAACTCTCTCACAAAATAAGGCACAACTACATGATCACAAGAAGTAAACACAATACAAATAATGAATCCAAAAACTAAACAAGAAAATATTCATGCAAAAGTATCTACAAAAGCTATGAATATATGATCCAGTTCAAGGAAGTACAGAATGTCATATACATAACTGCATCATCATGTTACAATAAATTCATTACTTCTACACAGAAAGAACTTAGTTATTTCCAATTCTATTTCATACAATTTTACATAAATTTAGTAAGTTTATGCACAATATTCACATCTGCAACAATAACAAATTGATCATTAAAATTCAGGCAAAGGGCAATTAAGACACAATAATGTGTGGTACATTATAATTACAGAATACCATTCATCAAGCTCATGTCTAGGAATATTAAATTGATGGCACATTTAAATCTTGCGGACCAAATCATCCAAGGTTTTATAGCCAAAGTACATTTAAAAAAAAAACAACCTGCTACAGTCAAATAGGTCATGGATATCAAAATATATTATCATAATTTGCTCTCCACTTAAAACATTTTAATGCAGATACAAGTTTTAAAAAAAAGTGGCTTTGAAGTCCTCAAAACTATAATTATAAAGCCTTTTTAAGAGAGATGGAATACTAAGAAATTTGGCAATTACCACTTAAAATTACTGTGAAGAAACTATTACACTAATTCCACAGTAAGAGGTAGTTGAACAAAATGTCATTTACACTGCATTGAGGTTTCTATGTTTGTTTCCCTCTTTTTTCTTCAAGTTGAATAAACCCCATGCCAGCAGCTTTGCTTTCTTTCTGTTAAAAAAATTCTACAGGTATGGTTTATTGTACACAAACCCAGCACTGATTTTAACTCACATTTCGATTCTGGGGTTTGGAATTTACTACCATGTGATACGAACATGCTTTGCATTAGAGCTAAGAGCTGGGACTCTGCACATGCCAGCTCTAACTCACTGACAAACAACAGCAGACATCTAAAATGCAGAGCCAGTAAAGACCCAAAAGATGATTTTTTAATTAAAAGAAAAGAGAACCCTTTTTGTTTGCATAACACCTTCCACTGGTGAGAGTTAATAGCAAAAATAATAGGTTTCACTTCTAATTTATTAGTATAGTAGCCTAGGGTAAATTATGCAGGACCTATGAAATAAAATAAGCTAGATGAAAACTAGAAAATCAAATACATATGGTTTTATTTGTTGTCCTCATGGTTTTTTTGTGAATATGTGGGCAGGGGACAAAACAGGGAAAGGCCTTCAGTGCACCCAATTAGGAGATGAAGTTAACAGATATTCTAATCTAGAAGAATTCTCATGAAGGCTTATTATCTTAAAAAAAAAGTATGGTGGTGCTGTGAATATCTGTTTTTCCAGTACACTTATTACATTACTTACATGTAAAAGTATAGAATTAAGACTATTTGAAAGGATTTGTAAGTATATGAAGATGCTTAAATAATTTCAGCTCAATTTATATTATTCAACTATTGTTTTTAATAAAGAGTCCTTTGTTAAAAAATTTGTACTTCTTCATTATTTAAGCTCAAGGACATATATTTTTCCAAGTCTGAAGACTCAGACAGGGTCCTTTAATAGCTATTGCTAACAGGGTTTAATGGGTTTTAAAAAAATAATTAAATGAATATATGGCAATCTCTTTTAGTTTATATATATTATAGGTAAAGCACAAACATGATATTTCAGGATGATATTTAAAAGCAAGTACATATTATAAACTATTTGTTGTAAATGAAATACTCCCATCCTTCCCTATTATTACCAAATGACTGCACTGAGTGAATATATAACTTTACATTTCTTCTCTACAAGAGTAATAAGCCAATATTAGACATCTCCTCAGCTGCTTTCCAATTTTCCAAATTAATAAGACCATAAAGTTCAATTCCATTGTTCAGCATACAAATAAGCTAAATTTTAATTGTCTTTAATTAGCCATTCTGTTTCATTTTAATGATAATGTTGGGATTCCTACATACATTTGTATTTGGTGATGACTCTATTCTGTTAAATAAGGTAATTTCACAGCATTATTTTTGTAAAATAAAAAGATTTACCAGTTGATATGGTACTCCAAATTCAGAACCACTTTAAATTTAAGTCAAGTTTAGAACTTTAAAAAATTCTTCCCTGTTAGGTAAGAAGAAAATATGAAGTAGAATACTTAATGTCTCCTTACTATTTTTATTTGTTTTCACAGATGAAACTATAACACTATCAGTTACTAGCTTTAAGATGCAATATTATAAAACAGTTTCAGTGAAGCTGAGCTATGCTTTCAAGGTTAGACCAAGTAAAGGGAAAAAGCAAACTCAGATTCGTGAAGATGCTGGAGAGACAAAAGTAGGATATAATATGAAGGCTAATCTCAGAAGACTTTCCACTTACAACAAACTGAACACAGGACCATTATACAATTTCCATTATCCATCCTCCTGGGATGATCAGGGTGGGAAGTTTTGTAGAATTCTGAATTGAGAATATGCGGGAGTTTAAAAATGAGACAGAAAAAGACAAAAAGAAAAATTAACCCTAATCTTTAAAATATAACCTCAGGATAACCATAAAGTAATAATTTTACAGAGGTTTTCATAAAATCCACCCAAGAGAATTTAATCAGTATTGTTAAAACAAAACCATGTTTGAATTCATAGTTCATACATACATATATCAACATAAACTATACTGAGAACACTCAAATAATAAATTTATAACAACAGTGCAAGTGAGCTATGGACCTATACATAAGAAAAAAAAGTTTTATTCTGTGCATGACTTCACAAAGAGAATACCTAATGTAACTAGTGTACTACTGTGCAACATAAATGATTCAATAACATCATCCACACACTAAATTTGGGAGGAAGAAGTAAGCTATGGAAGTATACTCATGCCATTTGTGAACAATGAAATTATATTTAAAAAAATACACTGCTATTTTCTGTCCAAAGTTTATTTACATTTCATAGGCTAATTCTGAACTTGGCATGAAAGCTATTCCAGGGATAAATGGAAAAAAAGTAATGAAAGATGAGCCCAAGTCTCACAAAAATAGAAGATTGACAACTTTCCAAAATACATGAATTCTAATTTGGTTTAGTATTACAACCACGGTCCAAATCAAATAGTAGTCCAAGACTTCCATTAAGTGCATTTATTAAAAATCTAATGTTAGTGTAATATTATTCTGAAGTTGTGATAACCCATTACCCTTGCAAGTCATTGAAACATGCATCACAGACACGAACAGGCTTCTTGGAAGAAGGAGTTAAGGCATTTTTGGCTGAACATTCAGCACAGAAGATATTTCCACATTGTCTGCAGTGATGCTGTGAATGACAAAAATCAAACAACTTCAAGCATAAAGACTATACCAAAAGCATTATGAGACTACAAGAATATTGCACACTGCACTGTGAAGGTATGTTAACTTTCAAGTAATTAGTATAATACTTAATGCTAAAATATTTCAATATATCAATTTAATCCCTAAATTGATTTGAAAGCTTTGTATTTATCAGATACTATACTAAACATTTTATATAGAATTTATCCTGTAATTCTCAAAAGAACTTCAGGAGGCACCTAAAAAGTGTTACTAAAGCACTTCTTTCATGTGAAAAATCATTCCTATTTGCCAGATGTTTCAGGAATAATTTCTTCAGTAGGAATATAAACTTGAAACATCACATGATGCTGTTATTTAGAATAAAATTTTTTATCTTTGTTTATTCTTCCTTCAAAAGAAACCACTGATAATTAAAACATACAAGTTTAATACTGGCACAGTGGTTCAGAAATGATTATTCCAGAGATTAACTCGGTAGGAAGGCAATGACTTAATTTAAAACTAAAACTGAGACACATACACTAACCAAAAACTAGATTGCATAAATGTAATTACTCTATGTAGTTGTAAATTAATAAATGAAAAAAAGTTTTTAAATCTGTCAAATGCAAGATTATTTTGATGGTTAAAACATTAATTGCTACTGAGAATAAAATCCAGAACCACAGTAATACAAACAAAATCATTTACCCGTCTCACTGTTACTGAAAAGCCTTTCCCACAGGCCATGCAATTTTGTACTTCATTGTCTTCAGCCCACTTTCTATTCAAAGCTTGGGTATGTTTGATCTATTTTTAAAAAAAGTTTAAAAACATTAAATACATTTATTTAAAGACTGATTGGTCATTTCTATTTTGGTGTCCAAGTTTTATAAAATTTTGACTATATGCAACCTGGGATAAAATTTTAAAAATCAGAAATACTTTGGTCAGCCCTGATTGTCAAAAATTGCTACATCCTTATATCTAAATGACAAAATGAGTAAATAAACAAAGCATAATACATAGTGCTTACCTATTTCATGATGTTCTTGAATTTGTCCAGTACTGACAATCCATGAATGACATGGACTTCTTAGTAACCCCTGGGGTCTCTCAGACAAGTTCGTTATCTCATATTTAATTATCCATTAATACCTACAATACTGCTACACAGACAACAGCCACTCAAAAGTATTTATTAAATATGTGAGATTTTTTTAAAAGGCTGAAAAATGCTTCTCACAAAGAGGTAAATTCTAGATTAACAAACTGTCTCACATCAGTAGGTAACTTACTTGAAGAGACTGATTTTCTCTGCCCAACTCCTGCACTGCTGCAGTTGTATTATCCAGCTTTCTTTGCAATTCTAGTACTTTGGTTTGAAGCTTTTCTATTTCACCTTCTCCTTTAAGACATCTAGAATAGATTGTAAGAGACAATTTTTTAAACATTAAAGATCCTTCTAAAACACAGATAATGAACTACTTTGGTAACTTTAAATATAACACATAAATTTCAACTATCTAATTGCTTTAAGGGTTAGTAGCTACTTAAATATCTGCAAGAGTTATGCACTTTTCCCAAGATTCTTTTCTATTTTAAAAATGTAAAATGACAATCACTTTTACCACTTAGAATGGAAATACACTAATTTTACTAAACATCCATCACCTTTCCAATAGTGCTCTCCTTTCATCCTGATTATTCTGAATCGTTGCTTCTAATACTGCGATTTCGCCCCGTAAGTCATCTGTCTGTTTCTCGAGCTCACTAACTCTCCGTTGACTTGACTGCCACTCCTTCTTGACAGTGCCTAAATTTTCATTTAATGCTGTAATCTGCATGGTAAGTTTAGCTTCATTTTCTTCATGCTTCTTCATTGCTACTTCTTTTTCTTTTATTTCAGAATGCTGAGTACAAGAAAAACAGAGGGGGCAAAAACCTATTACTCAAGTAGCACAAAATAAATTTAAATTAGTCTTGAATTTAAAATACTGGCAATAAATAATGCTACTTCTCGAGGAAAGAAGGCACAAGAATATATTCCATTATACACTAATAAAATAGATTCCACAAACGTGTGTCATCTGAACTGGCTCAAAGGCCACAATGCCAAAATGATGGTCGGCAAACCTCAAGCTTAAGTAAAGCAATTTGAGATTTTCCTTTTTTCCATTAGAGCAGGGAAGAACACAGGAAGAACAAGGTACCCTGAAGACAAAGCTGGCATTTTCTTATGTTTCAAATTCATGTGCATCCTGTTGTCTCTCCCTTGTCTGCCAAAAGAACAGTATAAACCCTTCACATCAGTGTGTGAACTTGAAATTGCCATTCTTTAACTAAGACATTCAGCAGTCAAGTCATCTAGGGATATTTGGACTTCATTCAGAGGAGGAAAGCCAGATGCTTCCTATTTGGCGTGTACAGCTTAGGGAAGGAAAAGTAGCCTTCGGTCATCATAACGCCAAACTGAAGTTTCCGTTCTCCTTATCCACATTCTCTTTGACCAAACAAACGAGTTTAACATGATTAGCATTCACACCGTTTACCTGAATCTACATAGTTGTGAGTTGGTTGGTTTGTTTTTCTGGCACTAGAAGTGTTACGTTTTTTAATTTAGCTTTATTGGGTTTTCAATTATATAAACCAGAACATAATTACAGAATAAAATACTTCCAATCACATGCCAGCTATTTGAACAAATCAGATCTCCTTTCTTAATCAAATATTTAAATGTTACATGTGCATTTGAACCATAACTCTCAAGTAGAAAATTCCCTCTTACTGGACTGGATTGACAAAATCAATTTTAAAACAACTTCCCACCATTAACATACTGACCAATTTAGCTTCTTTTTCAATAAATTCTTTCTTCAGCTCATCTTCTTCCTTTTTCACCTGCTCTTTTAGCATTTGCTGATTTCTCTTCTCCTGTTCAAGGGTTGCTTTCAGGGAATCTACTTTCCCTTGAAGTTCTAATTTCTGCTGAATCAAAAGTTGTTTGGCTTCCTTGAGATTTGTTACTTCCTATTGAGAAAGTAAGGCCAAAAATAAATCATCTTTTATAATAAGTTTCAAACTGTTGCTGAAATTTATGCAGCTTATTGAAATAGTAAGCTTAGTTTTAGCCTAGTCTCTTATAAGATTCTTAAAGTTCAATATTTCAAACAATTGGCTAAAAAGATGCAAGATTATTTACTTCCTGCTCAATAGTCATTGAATTCAAGTTTCACTGTGCAGGCACATGTTTTGATTATGTGAAAAATTTCTACCCCATATTCTCCCTTTCCTCACTTAGGAAGCATTTATCAGTCACCATTTAGGCATCACATACTTTGTTAGGGTCTAGGGATATTCCCTGCTTTAAAGAAGCCACAATCTGGAAGAGCATAATGTCATAAAGAGATAATTGATCCAAAAAAAAATGGTTAAGTGGACTGACAGACATAGAAGATATGAAAGCACTCAAGAAGAGATCTAACTTTTCTCTAAGAAAATAACATTTATTTATTTATAGTAAGGAAAGGAAATTATAAGCAATTAGTTTCTTCAGCTGGCACCCTAGCTATGCTTATGAGAAAAATATTCAAAAGAAGAGATTATTATAGGATTTAAGGAAGAAAAACAACTGAAAAAACAAAATCCCGTAAAATTTTAATTCTAAACTCTTAAATTATCTACAAGCATAATTTTCGAAATCAATAGCTCCCTTAATTATCATCTTAACAAAATCTGAACTTTTAGGGTTACTTTGTGCTTTATTCAGTAATCTGAAAATAAAATTAACATGTTTCAATATGTGTATAGATGTTATGTAATACAAGGGCATTAAGAAAGCAAGAGTATTTGTCAAAAACAACAAAACAATGTGCTTGGCACATAGTGGTTTCTCAATCAATCAATCAATCAATTTAAACAAAAATTATACAATACAGAAAGAACAATGTTTACAGTGATAAGATTAACATACCTTTATGCTTTCTTGCTTGTGGGACTTGAGTTCTTCACTCAATCTAGCAATTTCTTTTTCTTGTCTACCCTTAATTTCCTCTATCTCTGCCAATTTAGATTTTTCATTTGCTAGTTCTTTTTCTTTCAGTGACTGTAGAAAAATGATTTATAAAAAAAAACAAAAACAAACTGACAATTAATGTGACTGCTACTATTACTGACATTGTCTCTGCCCCATCTAAGGTAATGTGAATAAATTACTTACATTCTTATGCCTCTGTGTCCTTATTTATACAAGGTAAATAAAAATAAGATTATAAGGATTAAATAATTAATACTGTAAAATGAATAGTGCCTGGCCAAAGAAAGGATCCTATAATATTCAGCCAAACTACCATTCTTACTCTTATCAATACTGTAATCATTATTATACTTACTATCACTACTTTATCTAAGGCACTTAGCTAAGAGTATTATATATTATCTAATTTAATCTCTATATAAGGTAGCTTTTTAAAATTCTCATTTTATAGGTAAATGAACAAAGGTTTAGAGAAGTTAAATAATTAGAAGTAGAGCCAAAACTAAAAGTTTGCCTGATCTAAAACCTTTGTAATTAAAGGCCTCTACACTATAGTTTTATTGGAATTTACTAAACTTGAGGCAAAAATCATGAATTTCATGCCAGCTTCACCAGCCCCACCCCCACAAAAACATCCTACAATACTTTTTAATTAAAGAGAATTTCAGGAATTGCACAATTTAGGTATACCAAGAACTTCAGGAATCATACACTTCAGAATAATATCCTATCAGCTGATGGAAATATATACCAAAATAAAATATTTCCTAGAATCTGAATTACTCTTTCATATAGAAGTTTTAACTGACTTTTAAATGTACTGGTCATATAATACAGTGCTTCCAACTTTATAACTCAGCATCATTTATACAAAATACATCCCTACTTTCCCTTAGAAAAAGCTAGTTCTTGATTTTAAGAATTCTTTAAAAGATTAAGAATTTTTTCTAGACCTTTTGCTATGTCTTTTATACATCTAGAGGATAACATGTTGTATGAGAAATAGTTGAAGGGCTATAATACCAACTTTTGAATAATCATGGGTCTATAGTGTGGAAAACAGATCTGTTTGCAAAACTAAAAAGAGCAGTAAGAAAAATGGGTAGAAATGACAAGAAAACTATTAAGAAGGACTTCCTAGCATTAAAATTCCAATTACCAAAAAAAACCTTTTATCAGAAATCACAAGTCCATCTGACAGAACACTGAAAATAAAGGTGATACTTGTAATGGGTAAGAGGTTTGACTGGATGATCTCCACAGACATTGCAACTCTAAGATTCCAGATTGAGTCAGAAAATGACATACCTTTTCTTTTTGAATTTCTTGTAGGTTTTTACACTGCTCTTTCAACTGCTGTTCTTTCTTTGCTGAATCTTGCTCCAAAGTAGCCTTGGCAGTCTTCAGTTCTTGAATCAATTTATTTTGGTTTCCAATTTGATTTCTGTTTGAAATCAAGTCCTCTTGTGCTAGAGAAAGCTTCTCTTCTACAGACTTAAAAAAAATTTCCCCAAATTATTGTATGTAATTTTTTTAGCAACTTTCAACAGAAACATAACAGTTAGCGAAAGCATAAAGGAAAGCAATATACTATAAAAATATAGTAGGTTATACCCTTCAGTAAGATCATGTAATAGAGAAAGAATGCTGGATAATAACTCTCTTGCCTGTGGAAAGCATTTATCATATAAATAGTTAATAAAACTGAAGCAATTCCAAAAGTCTATACTGGCAAAGTGACATGAAGGAATATCAAATAAGTAGGGATGATATCAAAAACACTCAGACAACATATGGTTATGGTTAGAGAGAGAGAGAGACATGGGAAAACATGAAAAAAGCAATTTAAGAAGAGAGTTAAGTGCTATGTTTTGTATATGCGTATTAGTTTTGTAGGATCTATGGCGTTCCTTAATAACATGTTAAAACCTTTAATAAATAGAAAGAGATTTTTGTCTTGGGGGAAAAAATACTATATTTACATCTGCCAACCAGATCAAGTGAACTAAAAGAGGAAGGTCAATCAGACATCTAAAACTCTATTTCTGACAATGCCCTTGCCCAGTCTCTTAACTTCCCATTTGTGTGGTACAAGCAGTCCTGTCAGTTAACACAGTCCAAGATTACTGACTGTTGGGAGTTCCACATATTTTGAGACACCGAAGCTCAAAAAGAAAGGGTAACCTCTTCAACCTGTTAGATTTCATTCGTGGGTAGATATGGTTAACAGGTGGATAATGGAAAATGGCAGGAATTGTGCCACTGTCAGTTGCTATTGCTAAGAATCAGTAGGGAAGGGAACTAACTCTAAGATGCTCTTCCACAATCCATAATAAATTCATCAGTCTTATTCTTGAGATAAAGCTCCTCTAAAAAGGATGCAGAAGATATAATTCTGGAAGGATCCCTGCTGGCCAGGCTTGGCTATTATAAGCATTCAATAAAAAATAGATGAAAAATAAGTAAATGACTGAAGACCATTACTTAAGGAATTTAAGCTTATTCCTTACAAATAATCCAATTCAAGTCTTTCTGATACAAATTGAATTTCTATTTTCAGTGGCTTCCAATAGAACACTAAGAATCCTACAGATTCTTTTTCAGAAAAGACCTAAAGTTATCAGTCTTTTATCAATCAAGCAGTTAACTGTTAACTGAGTATTCTAATAAGGTAGACAGGAGGATAAAAGATAGTCTTTGACTTATGGAAGCTGACTGTGTAACCTGAAAAACAGAGCCAGCATGTGAAATGGAAGCTGTACAAGGTAGCAGAGCATTTGTTAAGTGCCAAATGCACAAAGGAAAGACAAATGTGAGAGTCTCTGGGATATATTTATAGAAGACTCCATGGTGCTATATTACAAAGGGTGAGAATGATTTCAGATAAAAAGAATATAATTTGACAAAGCCTAATCCATACAGTCTGTAGCAACTGTAATTAGGTAAAAGAGGTCCTGATCTAATGCTAAAGATCAAGGCTTGCTTGAGACAGAAAGTAATAGTACCCCCAACCTCCAATCAGAAATCCAAACTCCCCATGGTTTAAATAACAACCCATAGAATTTTAAACTCCCCAAACCCAGTGGCTTAATCTTTAAAGTCAAGCTCAAAATCTGGACTACTCTTTTCTAAAGATGCTAAGACATTGCTCTACCTTGCCTCTGAATACTCATCTATGTCATTCAATGGTATAATACCATGCATTTTTAAATATTCTTTGATCTCTCTTGTTTCAGACCACTTATTTTCACCTGCTCAGCATCTTTCCTTCCCTTACAGAACTCCCCCACCATCACATTTGACTGTTGGAGCTCTTTAACTCAGCCACTCCCATTGGAGTAGGCAAATTCCTGGGCAGATCAACTAGGAACCTTGATCCTGAATACTTCAATCACATTATAGTAGCACAACTGAAAAAAAAAGAATTTCTGCAGTGTTCTGTGTTAGTTATTGATTTTTGTCTGTTCAATATTGTCCTTTTTTCTTTCAAAATAAAACTTCTAAAATTTTAGTTACTACTTTTTTGGTATCTGATAAAATGACATAAGAAACAGTATACTAGGCTAAGAAGATTTCTATTTAATTCTAAACTTATTATCCTAGAATTTTCACTTTATTCAGGGTACAAAATTTACAGTTAAATTCTACTTCTACCTTTCTTCAACAACAAAGAATAGCATACAGCACAGCTAATTTGAAATATCGTCAACAAACTTAAGTATTTCATAAATAAACCAGCAGATGGGGCTAAAGGCATAGATAAGGCCTGCCAGTGGTCTTCCATTCTACTGGTGTCTTGGTGTGCACTGTCAGCCCACAGATGGCAGGCTTGACTTTGGTAGGTGCCTTGTTACAAAGTTCTGAACCTCTCTTCCTTATGCTTTATATACAGCTAGATCATATAACATCACTGAAGCAAAAGAAAAATAATGGCTGATAACTATTTCTATTCTGGTCTGTAAATACCATTTGAACTTCCCTAGGAATTTACTTCATTTTTTTAAAAAATTAACTTCCATAAAAGATCATATACTTCTCATTTTAGAAGTATTAATATAGAATGTATCAATATCGTTTTATATTTAGTGAAATGATGGTAAAAGAATAAAAGGCTACGAATCAGAAGAACTAACTATCATGGTCCTGTTATTGTGCAACACTAGGCCTGTCACAAACCTCATCGGGCCTCAGGCTCCTCATCTGAAAAGGAAGCTTTGGAATAGAGGATCTATCCACAGCCTCTTACCAGGTGTAAAACTCCACAGCAGCCTATTCCCCTGCCCCTTTCTCTTGTTGTCCATATTTATATTTGAATTATTCTTTAATGTATAAAATTATTAGTACACAATATAACTTTCAGGCATAATAAAAATAGTTATTGGCCTAATGAAAGAATATTGATTTAAGAAATCTAAGTCCTGTTATTAGGCTATGCTCTTGGGTAAACAATACATCCATATGAAAATAAGAGTGTGATTTCTATAGGACTTCTACAGTTAATCAATAACTTTTATCTCCTCAATCACATAATATTCTTGAAGTTCATACATATCTCCATCCTTACTATTACCAGCCCAAGCCACCATCATGAGCGCTTGGACTACTACTGCAAAGTCTCCCTGGTCTCTACCATTCAGGCATGTCTCCCTAAAATCCATTCCTTATACTGCTGCCAGTCATTAGCCTAAAATACAAATCTGAGCAAATCCTCTCAGTGGTTCCATCCTACCGCCTTTAGGATAAAGTCTTAAACTCTTAAACAAACCTTTCTCTGATTTCCAGTAGTGTAAAGAAAAAAATGATGATAATTTAAAGCTACTTTTAAAGAATAGCAAATAAGGCACAGTCTAAATATCAGGCAGCATTTTTTTTTCTTGTAACAACTCTTGCTAACTTTAAACTAAAACTTTATATATGTAATCTACTGTTGGCACTGTGAAAATTTTCTTTTCCAATTTCCTATTTCTTTGTCAAATCATTAGTCTCCATAGATTCCTTCACTTTCCTTCCAGACTGTACTTTCTCAGCTCTTTGTTTCACCTTCTCTCTCCCATTAATCTCTTTTGTTCCATCCGCTTTAATCCCTGTTCTAATCAACTCATACCTTGATTACTGGAAATTCAATGGTGGGAGGAAAGGAGATAGCCTCTTAACTAATCTTCCTACTACTTGGTTACCCTAGGTCCAACCCAAGGTGTCTGCAACCCACTTCCAGGTTAAGATGCCTCAAGTACTATTTTTCTTCACTTTACTCCTTTGCATAGACTCTCCATTATTCTCCCAAATGTAAAGTCTAATCATTCTTGCTAGGCATCTAAGATACTTCACAATCTGATCCTAACCTTTTTAACCTTAACTTCCAAACACAAACCAGCACTCTAGCAAGATAATAGTATTAACTGTCTTCTGGCTTTGCTCATTCCCACTACACCACCTTTTCTCAAATGTGCCTCTGGATGAAATGACCTTTCTCAGGATTCTCTGTGTGTTTAAATTCCATATATCCTCTGGACCTGGTCAAGTCCTACCTCAGTCATAAAGCTTTCCCTATAACAGTTTATAAATAAAATATATAAATATTCTGTGATTTTCAACATTATTTTTCAAGGACATACTTCAAATTAAACAAAGGAAAAATCTAAACATAGGAAAGAAAAGCATAGTATTTCACTGTGCCAAAAAAAGAAGAGAGAGAGAGCAAGAACTGGCTGAATCTTCTCGGAAAGAACAGAAATGTTTTGTTTACCTTAGAGAATTGATACCCTTAAATACTGCATACAAACCATTTACTCTTTTTCCATATCTTTCATTTTAATAAACATGACACTTTAATCAAACAGTATTGCCAAGGACAAAGCCACCATAAATATTTAGATAATTAAGGTTAAGTTTACTTTTAGCTGTAATCTCCTAATTTTAATCATTAGGCATTCCAATAGCCTTGGGAAGTTGACAAATATATAAAACAAAAGTAAATATTGCCTGACATGCAACAGTAAAATTGTGTTTTTACAAATGGTTTACATTTAAAACTCTTTAGATTTTCTAACAGCAGTCCTTTTTTCAAGTTAACTTTTTACAAAAAAATAGCAAAGTTCTTAGATAAGTTAATAATGTAGCAGTTAACATATTTCCAAATTATTTTACTGTTATAAGTTATTTTTAAATGTGTAATATATATATGGTTATAAAGCAATGTAATTTTTAAAAAGCATGTTACTCCAGATATAATAATTTAATAGAAAACAAGCATGATAGTCCACAAATACTAACATTCCCTTGCCTTTCTATATTCAAATCAATCATTTAAACATCTATAAACAACTGAGTTTTTATGATATAATATAGTTTAGTGTAATAGCACAAAGACAAGTAGTGACTCTATAGCATCTTACTATGCTGATGGACAGTGACTGCCATGGGGTGTGTGGGGAGACTTGATAATATGGGTGAATGTTGTAACCACAATGTTGCTTTATTAAGACTGTATATTAATGATAGCTTAATAAAAAAATATATATGTATGTTATATACATACACACACACACACACACACATATATAGTTTACTATACCTTAAGATCCTGCCTTGTGGCAAGAAGTTCAGATTCCTTCCCATAGAAATCAGACTGAAGCTGTTTTAGATTTTCCTGACTTTTTTCATAGGTGTTCCGTAACACTGATATTTTCTCTTTCTCTGCTGTGAGTTCCTGGGCTGCTTCTGTTGACTGCTGCTGTAGTTTATTCTCAAGCTCTGTCTGAAACATACAACAGTTATTTAAAACAGTATGCAAACCAAAACCAGTTACAAATACTAAATGAAATCCATACAATAAGAAGATCCTTGAGAAATGAACTAAATTTTTGCCCCCAAATCCTTCTAACTTTAATAAAGAGTAACTTATTATCTTACAGTCACAAAGTTAAAAAATTAAAAATTCCAACAAGTCCCAATTTAAAAGCCAAAAAGTGAAGAAGCAATTAAATAAAGAAAAAGAGCATTTCACTGGAGGCCCTAAGTACCAAGGTCTCAGGAAACTCAGAGCAACAATCACACTAGGTGAAAGTTACACTGCTAGATGCTTTAGAAGATGATATAATTTAAGATTGATCTAAGAGGAAGTTCTACATGAAAGAAATTAAAAAGCCAATATACTGCATTGAAGTATACAGTTTCTACTCCTTGACATTTGAGAATAACTTAGGAAATTTCTCTAGGTCATCTTTAACATTAAGGGAGAAAAAGAAAACATTGCAAAGGTACAACTCCTCTAAATTTGTCTTTAATCTCTAAGAAGATTCAGGAGATATGCACAAATTATGACTATGAATACACAGTATGAAAATAATCACTTGGCTTTTAAAATAAATATTGCTGCTTCAGTGAAACTGTTGTTGAAGTTACTAGAGACCTGCTTATTACAAAAAGCAGTATTCATGTTCTTGTCCACACCTTACTTGACCTCCCAGCAGTACTTGAAATAGCTTATGATATCCCTTCCTAGTAACATTCTTCAACATAGTTTTCAGGGCACCTTCTGATTTAGGTTCTCTTCCTACCTCACTGGTCATTCCTTCTTAAAACCTATTACTAACTCTTCTTTTGTTTTATTTCTCTATATTGTAGGACCCCAGGATTCTGTCCCTGGCCCTCTTTTATTCTATATACAGTCTCTTTCTAGATCTCAACTAGACTCATGGCTTTAAATGTCATTTACTTACAACTAACTCCTGCATCTATGTCTCTAGCTCTGACCTCTCCACCTGAACTTGAGGCTCATTAAATCCAAGTACTGAGGTTTCTGACAGCAACCATGCTCATCAAAAAAGCTGCTACTTCCCCAGTAAATATGGCCATCTGTCTACTTGCACAAGCCACAAACCTAGAGTTATTCTTGATTCCTCTTTCCATCCTCCCTCACCATCTAATCTATCAGCAAGTCCTGGTGATTCAACTTCCAAAATATATTCCTAAATCATCTGCCTCTAACACTTTAGTTCATGTCATCATCATGTACTGTCTAGACTACTGCAGTAGTTTTTCAATGCTTTCCCTGCTTGTTCCTTTATCTCCCTTTAGTCAGATCACACCATTTCTGCCTAAAAATTCTCCAATCAATTCTAATTATCCTTAAAACAAAATATATCATTCTCTATTATCTTGTAATCTACAAGTTTGCATGCATATGCTTTAGCCTGTTCTACTCATCTGAACTCATCTCAAATTACTCTCCTTCTCTCCCACTATACTTAACCTATATTGGCCTTCTGTTTTTAGAAAATACCAAGCTTATTCTAACCTTAAGGTCTATGCACTGGTTGTCCCTGCTGACCTTTGTATAGATAGTTCTTGAATTTCATGTATCAGCTCAAATCTTTCCAGAGAGACTTCTTTGATCACCCAACCTTTAGTAGGTCTCTATCCCAACACTTCTCTCACATCACCCTGTTTACTTTCTTTTCCCAACTGTAAGCTCCATGAGAACAGGCTCCTCGTCTGTTCACGAGTGTATCTCTAACACTCAAACTTTTGCCATGGCATAAAATTGGTGACTCGTAATATTTCTTGAATGACTGAATTACAAATAGATTGGAGGTAGAAAAGCCTGGGATGTCTATTAAGAGCTTATTTTAATAGCCCAGGTAAGAAGAAAAGAAAGCCTGGACTATGGCTGGCAGTGGGAAGTAAGAAAAGGGGATGGATTTAAGAGAACTAGAAAACAAAAAGCTCCCTGCAGATGGCGGTGAGAGAGGAGAGACAGACGCTTCCTCCTAAAACTGGATACAATTAGAAAATATAGCTGGCACAACTAATCCTGAGAGAGCAACAGGGAAGAGGATGGCGCCAGACTGCACACACCTGGAGAAAAGAGCAGACCTCACCAAACGGGGTAACGTACCAGAGCTGTGGCTCCGCGGGACCCGAGCCCCTCCCCCACCCCAGCTCACCGGCGGGAGGAAGACAAACAGAGCAGGAAGGGAGTGGAAGGCCTGGGACTGCTGAATACCTAGCTCCGGAGAAATGCGCTGGGAGCACAAACCTACATTTCATGGTGCTTTCATCATACTCTTCTGATTACGGGGTTGGAAAGCTGGGACGGGAGGAGTCCCTGGGGAGACTGGGATTCCAGCTGCTTGTGGAAAGCAGGGATCCATATCCAGCAGCTCTGGGACAAAAGCTTCTATCTGTGTGCTCAGCCCACTGGTTCAGGCAGTGGAGACAGGCACAGCAGCGGGGAAGCAGGGAACAGCTCTTTCTTCCCCGCAGGGACCAATACCGCTCCCCTGCAACACCCAACATTGCTTCAGGGGCTAAGCAGCTCCAGAATAGAGCTTCTGGACACTAGACGGTGCCATATACAAATATGAAATGCCAAAGAAACCTGGTCCAGAGTAAAATTATTAATACAACTCCCGAGAAAGATTTAAATTATATGGACCTCGTGACTCTTCCTGAAAGGGAGTTCAAAATAAAAATCATCAACATGCTAATGGAGGTATGGAAAGACATCCAAGAACTCAGGAATGAATTCAGGTTGGAGATCCAATCGTTAAAGAGCATGATGGAGGGTATTAAAAGTAGATTAGATATGGTGGAGGAGAAGATAAATGAAATAGAAACTAGAGAAGAGGAATACAAAGGAAGCTGAGGCACAGAGAGAAAAAAGGATCTCTAAGAATGAAAGAATATTGAGAGAACTGTGTGACCAATCCAAATGGAACAATATTTGTATTATAGGGATACCAGAAGAAGAAGAAGAGAGAGAAAGGGATAGAAAGTGTCTTTGAGGAGGTAGTTGCTGAAAACTTCCCCAATTTGAGGAAGGAGATAGTCTCTCAGGCCATGGAGATCCACAGATCTCCCAACACAAGGGACCCAAGGAAGACAACACCAAGACACATAGTGATTAAAATGGAAAAGATCAAGGATAAGGACAGACTGTTAAAAGCAGCCAGAGACAGAAATAAGATCACATACAAAGGGAAGCCCATCAGGCTAACATTAGACTTCTCAGCAGAAACCTTACAGGCCAGAAGAGAGTGGCATAATGTATTTAATGCCACGAAGCAGAAGGGCCTGGAACCAAGATTACTTTATCTGGCAAGATTATCATTTAAATTTGAAGGAGGGATTAAATAATTTCCAGATAAGTAAAAGCTGAGAGAATTTACCTCCCACAAACCATCTCTACAGTCTATTTTGGATGGACTGCTATAAACGGAAGTGTTCCTAAGGTTGAATAGCTGTCACCAGAGGTAATAAAACCGCAGTAAAGAAAGCAGAACATCTAATTACTAAGAAAATGCAAAATTAAATTAACTATCCCCAAAGTCAATCAAGGGATAGACAAAAAGTACAGAATATGATACCTAATATATAAAGAACGGAGGAGGAAGAAAAATGAGAAAAAAAAAGAACCTTTACATTGCGTTTGTAACAGTATACTAAGTGAGTTAAGTTAGACTCTTAGATAGTAAGGAAAGTAATCTGGAACCTTTGGTAAGCATGAATCTAAACCCTGCAATGGCAATAAGTACACACCTATCAATAATCACCCTAAATGTAAGTGGACTGAATGCACCAATCAAAAGACATAGAGTCACTGAATGGATAAAAAAAAAAGACCCATCTATATGCTACTTACAAGAGACTCACCTCAAACCCAAAAACATGCACAGACTAAAAGTCAAGGGATGGAAAAAGATACTTCATTCAAACAACAGGGAGAAAAAAAGCAGGTGTTGCAGTACTAGTATCAGACAAAATAGACTTCAAAATAAAGAAAGTAACAAGAGATAAAGAAGGACATTACACAATGATAAAGGGGTCAGTCCAACAAGAAGATATAACCATTATAAATATATATGCACCCAACGCAGGAACACCAGCATATGTGAAACAAATACTAACAGAACTAAAGGAGGAAATAGAATGCAAGGCATTCATTTTAGGAGACTTCAAAATACCATTCACTCCAAAGGACAGATCCACCAGACAGAAAATAAGTAAGAACACAGAGACTCTGAACAACACACTAGAACAGATGGACCTAATAGACATCTATAGAACTCTACAACCAAAAGCAACAGGATACACATTCTTCTCAAGTGCATATGGAACATTCTCCAAAATAGACCACATACTAGGCCACAAAAAGAGCCTCAGTAAATTCCAAAAGATTGAAATCCTACCAACCAACTTCTCAGACCACAGAGGTATAAAACTAGAACTAAATTGTACAAAGAAAGCAAAAAGGCCCACAAACACATGGAGGCTTAACATCATGCTCCTAAATAATCAATGGATCAATGACCAAATTAAAATAGAGATCGAGCAATATATGGAAACAAATGACAACAACAACACAAAGCCCCAACTTCTCTGGGACGCAGCAAAAGCAGTCTTAAAAGGAAAGTATATATCAATCCAGGCATACTTAAAGAAGGAAGAACAATCCCAAATGAATAGTCTAACGTCACAATTATAGAAATTGGAAAAAGAAGAACAAATGAGGCCTAAAGTCAGCAGAAGGAGGGACATAATAAAGATCAGAGAAGAAATAAACAAAATTGAGAAGAATAAAACATTAGGAAAAAAATCAATGAAACCAAGAGCTGGTTCTTTGAGAGAATAAACAAAATAGATAAGCCTCTAGCCAGACTCATTAAGAGGAAAAGAGAGTCAACACACATCAACAGAAACAGAAACGAGAAAGGAAAAATCACGACGGACCCCACAGAAATACAAAGAATTATT